TTGGGTAATTGGGTTAATTGTTTGATGATTAAACATAATAATTATATTATTATGGGTTGAAAACCCTATATACTCACCAGGTTTCCCAACCTGACCCACTCAGTTTATTTGTATCACAGGTATCGATACGAAGCTACTTTACACTGAGAGATTAAAGGAGACGTAGATCACTAGTGTAAATAAATGTAAGGTCTGTTTATGCTTATGTTTCAGTATTGACGATGACATCCCAAAGTTTTAATATGAACAAAATACATTTCTTCGGAAATGTTTTGATAATATATTTATCATGTTTTTCTGGGAACAAATTCCGCAATATATTTCTTTAAAAATATACTCTGATTTTTAAATAAAGCATAAACAAATCGGTCTTTTTTTACCGTGAAAATGGGGATGTCACAACGGTGACACAGATGGTTGATGACAACGTGTAGTGGTGGTGATAAAGTTTTGGTTCAACTTCTCTGAATAAGTAAATTAGTGTAAAAATGATTGTATTAAGTTGTGAATTTTATATATTAAATTATAAATAAACTGTATTAAGTTGTATTTTATATAATTTGTGTTTAAAGTATTAATGAATGTATATATTAAAATATTAGACTATAAAAATTACGATTTTGCCATATTCTTACCAAAGAAACAAATATCATGATTTTTAACATATTTAATAAGTATTCACATACATATTTACTTAAGAAATGAGGTTCTTAGGATTCTTAATCTTTTGTGGTTCTCATTTGAACCACACCCTATATATATATATATATATATATATCTATATATATATATATATATATATATATATATATATATATATATATATATATATATAGAGAGAGAGAGAGAGAGAGAGAGAGAGCTAGGTTTAAATCTGGATTGACATCTATTGTGTGGACGTATGGATAATGCTATTCTGTGAGAATTACAAAGAAAATATGTTGTTTGATAATATGAATACGTTCAATCTTATATAATTTTTTTAATTATTAAGCATTTTCACTAATTAAATCGTCTATAAGGTTATTATACACTTTTTTTTAATTATTCTCATTCTGTCAGAATGTTATCAGGATGTTTATTGAGTCGTATTCTGTAAGAATTAAAATAAATAAAAAATGATGAATGAGAACAAAAATGAATTAGAATTGGTGAGAATCCATTAAAATAACAATAGTTCTGTGAGATTGAACGTATTCACATTACTAAACAGCATATTCTCTTAGTAATTTTCATAAAATAGCATTATCCACACAATAACTTTATAACCTAGCCCTATATATATATATATATATATATATATATAATATATATATATATATATTTAATTGTTATAAATCTTACAAGGATATTATAATTTTTATCTTTATTACATGTAATAGCTCGTATAGTAGTATATGCTTGTGCACGCTCATAAAGGTTCGACTTTGAGTGTGTATATATAGATATATATATATATATATATATATATATATATATATATATATATATATATATATATATATATATATATATATATATATATACACACATTTAATTGTTATAAATCTTATAAGGATATTATAATTGTTATCTTTATTACATGTAATAGCTCGTATAGTAGTATATGCTTGTGCACGCTCATAAAGGTTCGACTTTGAGTATACAGTCAAGTTTGTTGATTCTTAAGGAATTCATCAGCATATATTTTGGCAAAACCTCCTTATCTATAAGAAATAGAGCAAATTACATGAATGGTCCCTATGGTTTAGGGTAATTTCCGCGTCTGGTCCCTACTTTATTTTTTTAACTCAGAAGGTCATTACTGTTTGTTTTTTTTACGCGCTTAGATAACACAGGGACCAAGCGCGTAACAAAAACAAACAATAGGGACCAAGCGCGTAACATAAACAAACAGTAGAGACCTTCCGAGTTAAAAAAATAAGTTAGGGACCAAATGCACAAATTATCCCAAACCATAGTGATCATTCGTGTAATTTACTCTAAGAAATATAAAACATATATCAACTTTGTATACATAATTTATACCAACTAATTTTATAGATCCAACTATATGAAACTAGTTTAATATAAGTTAGATTTGAACACATAACGTGGAAAACTAGTTCACTTTACTTTCAATGGGGTCATGACTTATGAGTGTTTGATGTAAGTTCACATGGAGAGGTTTCTCCATTTAAGTTACTCGAAAATTTTAGAAGACGACAATAACACAATTGCGCATAGCAAAGAAAGACAAGTAAAATGAGACCACTAAGTCACATGTTTGCTCAAAACCGGCAAACATTTATATAAGAAAATTCAAGAATTAACTCTAAAAAAATTATCATTATAAAGGTTCTATTGGTATGCCTGATTGTAATATTCAGTTTAGGAAGGTTAGAGTGTTTAGTCCCTATATGAAGAAAACAACACACAAGAGTAAATGAGACAATTAAAAGCGAAAATTAGAATTCACAACCGTGGAGGAATTTCAGTCGCACCGCCAGTAACGCTGGCAACTAAAATCACCGATGATGGATCATGATCGAGATAAAAGAAATAACTAAGGATGAGAGTGAAGATTTTTAAAAAACATTTAAGGGAAAGAAAGGTGTTAAACAATAGGAAGCGGAAAATGTCATTCATATGAAATTAACCCTAATCTAAAGAGATTGAAAGTATAACGACTACGGTGTATGTAACGAACTTCCCAATAATGTATGATTCTAAGGAACTTTGGATATTGTGTAAGAAATATGGAGTGGTGGTAGATGTGTATACTGCAAGCAAAGTTTTGAAGCTGGGTTGATGATTTGCATTTGTGAGTTTCCTTTGTGTGGAAGATTAGCAATAGTTATGTGAAACTTGGATTGGAAATTATCATGTATTCGCTTCTATGACACGTTTTACTCGGAAATAAAACAATGGAAACAAGAGCATTCCAGCGATAAAGGTACAATAACGAACTATATTCGATACAAGTGAGATTGATAAGGAGGTCCTAAGACTTTTGTTATTGTGTTACATGGAACAATAAATTATGGGATTGGCAAACAAACTTTGGGTGCAAGAAAACAATTAAATCTTGCGACTAGTGATCTATTGGTAGCACCGAACTCGACGTGTGTGGCGGTAGGAAACACGAGGGAGGCTCATGTTATAGAAAACTTGTTCTAACATTTTTCGAAAAGAAGAATTTACGGATGTATAAATCAATTCGTGGGTGGAACACAGGTATATATGGAATTTAGCTCTCAAAGGGATAATATAATATTCAAGAAAAATGATGATCTTACATGTTCTTTTACGGAATTGAAACACTAATAAGTACTTTGTGGTGCAAGAACATATGATTTAGATCAAAATATACGACATACCACTAAGTGTTTGGACATCAAGTGCTTTCACAAAGGTTGCTAAGATATTGGAGGGAGTTATGTGAATGGACGATGATCGACATATAAACGTTAGTTGTACGACGGTATGTGTAAGAACTAAGATTATGCTCATGGGTGATGATCGGTATAATAGACCGTCGGTAATTATATTAGTGAGTATGATTAAAAATAGAAAACCTATTAATTTACAAATAATCAGCGAAGATTAGCAGCGAGAGCGTGACACAAGCCTCCTGATTCCAACAGACTAGGGATAGATTTTGACAATAGAATGGATTATTTACACAATTTTCCTAGTATGTAAAAGAAAAAAAATTCGGACCCATTAACGATACAGTCTCTTTACGATCGCATAAATCACATCTCCTTAGGGCCTCACACCTCCTTTGGCCCTATTACTATCCCTTTATATAACCTAAAATGTTATGATAAGGGCCAGAAAGTATCTCATTCCACAACTTTTTTTATCAAATGACTATTTTATCCTTATTAAACATCATCTTGTATTCTTTTAGTTATTATTATGATTGTTTTATTTTTTATTTACTTATTTCTTTTATTGGCGGATCCACTATCTTATCCTACCTCGCCCATTTTCTCAATTCCATGCTAAAAGATCACACCACATGTGACGTCCGACAACTGCCACCCATCATCACTCTCAACCACCGCCAAGTCACATCCGTCAATCACCACCAGGCACCTCTTATCACCACCACGAAGCATCGTGAAATTATAGACACATATTAACCAAAATAAAACAAACCACACCAAAATCAAAATAAAAAACAAAAGAAACTTGAACATGCAACCAAAATCAAATCAAACATGATGCGTACCAACAAAAAAATGGTACTTTCATTCTCTATGACCATACATGTGTAATCAAAACATAAATAAAAAACGGATTAAATAGAAAACAAGAAGTCAATGTTTTTTAAATAAAAACTATAAAAAATCAATCAAGAACCAAAACAAAATCGATCGGGACTGATCCAAGCACACGATGGTTAGAAGACGTAACTAATTTTGATGTTGGAGAGAGAGAGAGAGAGAGGGCTGTGGCGGATGCTTTTTCTTCTAGTGAGAAGAAGTCTTTGCTTAAAGGGGTTGACAGAGAAGAAGAACAGACTCAAAAAGACGGTGGAGACGAGTGTTCCAACAAATGAAATGGAGGTGGTGGGAGAATGGAGAAGATGACTAAAGTAGACTCAAACGGGTAGAAGGGTAGAGACGTGTCGTCGATGAATGCATAACTAATCTCTCATGATTTATGAAGCTAATTGAGGAATACATAAATAGGTAGAGGTGGGATGGTGGGAATCAAATATTTTTTTCATTAAATTTGTCTAGTATATTATAAATAACAAGGACATAAATAAATAGGTAAATCCAAATATAGTTATCTTATATCTAGCAATATTTATCGTGTAAATTTAAAACTAACTAAAGACAATTCCAATAAAAAATAAAATATAAAGACGACACAGATCAGACCAAGTTATACGTAATTAATCTTAAAATATTTAATTTATTTATTAGCACTTACTAAAGCATATTATATCGTATAAAATAAAGAAAAGTAAAAGGTGCTAATTAATCAGGAGTATATTGTCGTGGACTCGTAGATTAGGAATCGAGGCACGCAACGCAACAGCATATAATTAAATTTCCGACACTTCAGTCTTTCTCTCTCTCAAAAAGGTTAGAAACACGCACAGTCAAACCAATACTCGCGGCTAATTTTGTTCCATAAATAAACTCAGTCTCGCCGGAAAATAGGATTTTAATCCAGCTGACACCTTCCTCGCCGGAAACATCTTCACTAGCTGCCGCAATTCAACTTTTTTCTGCTGATTCATCTCCCGATCTCTGAGGTCGGTGTGTGTTTTGATACATTTTTCCGATCTCTTATTACAAATGTGTAATCGTTAAATCTCAGAGGCAGGTTTAAGATCTATTGATTTGTTCGGAGAAAAACGTCTGCAATTATCACTCATTTCTACTTGATATTTCTCAGACAGTCATTATTTGTCACTCAAACGGTTTCGTGTGTCTGTGTTTGCATTTAAATGCTTTGCTTAATGTTTGTTTTTTGGGATAAGAGATGCAACAACGGAAGATTTCAAGAAAAAAACTCCGAGACATCTCTTTTCTGGAAGAGGTTTTCTTTACTAAAAATAGAATTGTGGAGTGTTTGGCGCATTTATCATTCTCTGCGTGTGTTTTCATGTCTTTAGGTCATCTGGTCATGATGTTTAAACAATTCTGTTATCTCTCTCTCTCTCTCTCACACACAAACACACTTACAACACACAATCACACGCATAGTTTGCATCCTAGATTTTTATCACATGTCGTTACAATTCACTGCCTGCACGCAAATGGCATTTACAGTTGCTCAAAATTCCAATAGTTAACAGGCTCTCGTTGTTTAGATTAGTAAACGTAGGATTGAAGTTTGACTTTGATGTCAAAGTTATGATTTCATAGATTTGATAGCGAGATGAAGCTATTACATGGTTGATGATGTGGCTTATGCAGTTCAAGTTTGAATCTTTTGCTGTATCTGGGCCCGGATTGTCTTTCTATAAGAGTAATGATTTGTTAGAGGAAAATTTCATACTGGGTGGCATCTTATTTTGTTTCCAGTTTCCCCTGTGGATTGGAGGTACTAAAGTGAAAGACATAATATGATAGCAGATTGTTTTCTAGTGGCTTCAAGTAAGAGTTGATGTGTAATGTGTTGAACATTCATGGAGAAAAGTGTCTGTGGGCTTTCATTGTGGGCTTCTAGGTGATATCTATGTGATGCAAAATTCTTAAATGTAAGAGAAACGGGGATACATTAAAGAGGACCATTTGGAGTATGCTGTTGGCTTAACATGGAAGTCTAATCTATTGGACTTTATATTTACACTTAGAGCTATCTTATATCCATTTATCTATGATCATTGTTTGTTTGTTTCAGACTTCAGTTGACGTGAGTTATTGATATACCCTTCATTCTAACAGCTGCAGTTTGGTATGAAAATATATATATAAACAAGAGCTGTTGATGAGGGAAGCTAAATCATGGAGGAACCTTTTTAGGAAAAGAAAACTCCATTGTGATTTGGTGAGTTTGACTCTGAGACAAAATTCCTGTTAGTTTACATTCTTGAGAATTTTTAAAGGGATTTTAATAATGTAGGTTGTATACATGTAGGGATGTTATGGCATCAGGATGAAACCGTTTATGGGAGCTGCTTGTATCATAATGCTGTATATTGTATATAGAACCACAAATTATCAGTATCTGGAAACCGAGGTAAACATTGCATTTGATTGGATTATTGAAGCCAATTAGAATGGGTAAAGATCATAAATCTTGAAAGATTGAAGTTATAGGCAATGTACTTTATTCAGGCAAACTGCAAGAAATAGAGATGTACTTTACTCTTTTTGCCGATATAACGGGTTAAAATGTTTTGGAAGTTTCAAGCTCATGGCTTCAGTTCACTAATATGAATCTTTTTGTTATCTGTCTCATCAGATGGAGTCAAGATTGGATCCACTCTACTCATCAAAGGTAGATTTTTGAAACCAAGGGAATCTTACTTCTCTCCTTTAGTCTCTGACTCTCTGTACTGTGTTCGTCAATGGGATAAAATCTGACTTTAGGCTCCTTTTTTTTAATCAAGTTAATGTGCTTTCGGTGCTATTTTCTAGGAATATGCGTTAGCTTCCACAAATTTGAAGGGCTTACCTCGTGGTATTATTGAAGCTAAATCTGACTTGGAATTAAAGCCTTTATGGTCCACAAGTAGCTCAAAATTAAAGGTTAGACACTGAACCTTAAGGCTTAATTGCAAGAATTGGCAATGCAGTTTAATTGATTTGTTTATTGTAGAATAGTACAACATTGTACATTTAAAAATCTACCCAATTTAATGTGCATTGTTGTAATGGAAAGAAACAAAAGTAGGATGCTATAATGAACAAATAATGAAAGTACATTGCTATTTCTTGCATTTAGCTCCTAACTTTTAAAAGTTTTAGTTTCAATAACAATAATTTTCATGGTCTTCCAATTGTAGGGCGATGTTTCAAGTACACATAATTTGCTGGCAATTCCAGTGGGTCTCAAACAAAAGCGTAATGTTAATACTGTTGTTCAAAAGGTACAACCATTGATTAACATCTAGGCCCTGTTTTATTTGTTACCCATGACATAACATAAAAAAAGTGGGATTGCACAAAAAAGACGTGAATGCCCTCCTCATTCTCATCATTGAAAAATAGCCCTAGAACGCTTTTCCAGTTATGTTTTGTCCCGTGCAACCCTTAATGCTCTATATTTTTAGTATGTCTTTTGATGTGTGAATTAACATTACTTTTTTTTTTCAGTTTCTTACAGCAAATTTTACAGTTATCTTATTCCATTATGATGGAAAAGTGGATGGGTGGCGTGATCTTGAGTGGAATGACAAGGTCATACATATTGTAGCCCACAACCAAACAAAGTGGTGAGCTCATATCTGTTTGTTAAGGTTAAGGACATGACATGACATGACAGAAAAAAGTTGCAATATCCCTTTTTTGTAATATTATTTCGTCTGTGCAAAAGACATAAATGCCCTTCTCTTCTCATCCTCCTGACTAAAAACAACACTAGAAATATATGAAAGAGAATATGTAATAGTATTTACATTATGAGAGAAAATCCGTGATAGTATTTAGAAATGACGACTGAAAATCATTGCCTACAATTACAATATGAAGAGATTAATAAGAAAAAATGAAAGTAGGATGCTCTAATAAATAAATTGGTATTTGTTGCATTTAGAGCTTTGTGTATATTGTTTGTGTGATTACTGTATGGGATATTATGTTAGGTGGTTTGCAAAACGATTTCTGCATCCTGCTGCTGTGTCCATTTATGATTATATATTTCTGTGGGATGAAGACTTAGGAGTGAATCATTTTAATCCCAGAAGGTAGGTACACCTGTCACATCATCTTTATCTACTTTTATTATTCATAAATGGAATTTTTTTTGTTATCCCCCAATAGAGTAACCATCTGTAGTTTTTTTTTTTTTTTTTTTTTTTTTTTTTTTTTTTTTTTTTTTTTTGTTATATTTACAGATACTTGAATATTGTTAAAACGGAAGGATTGGAGATATCACAACCAGCTTTAGATCCAAATTCGACTGATATACATCATCGGATCACAATACGGAAGAGAACAAATAAGTTTCATAGGTAGATATTTTGAAGTCAATGCCTTAATTAGAAAAAAAAATAAAATTGTCACAATGTTGTTATAGAAAGAAGCAAAGTAGAATGGTTTAATTGGTGTATATTTTGTGTTTGGTATGTTAATGAGTAATGAGACATTCTGTTTTACAATTACAGGAGGGTGTATGATAGCAGAGGCAGTGTGAAATGTTCAGATGACAGTGAAGGGCCACCATGTTCTGGGTAAGGTGGCCAATTCTAGTAATTCATGTCATGACTCATGAAGGTTTTTTGTCTACATTTTAGTTCAAATGTTTTTTATTTGGTTGTTGGTTGTTTCAGATTTGTAGAAGGAATGGCTCCAGTTTTCTCAAGAGCTGCGTGGCATTGTGCTTGGCATCTTATTCAGGTAAATAGAAACACTTTAAAGTTTGATTCGGTTATTTCAGAGGAGTTTCCCTTTCCCATATATACATCTTCTTTATCCAATTATTCTCTGTTGATAAGCCTTACAGACTTGAATGTGTTAACTTCCAGAATGACCTTGTTCATGGATGGGGAATGGATATGAAACTTGGCTATTGTGCACAAGTGAGTTTAACTTTAATTCATTTCCATTTTAACTTTTTTTTATTGTATTTTGTTTTTAAATAACTAGAGACTACTAACTAATCTTTTGTGTTTTTAAGGGGGATCGGTCGAAGAAGGTGGGGGTTGTTGATAGCGAATTTATTGTTCATCAGGGAATACAAACATTAGGCGGGGCTTCTTTTAAAAAGGTTATTCATTTTCTACTTCAAAATTTTACCAAACTATAGGAATGTCATCCATGTACAAAGCAATTATCACTGCTAAATTTGGAAGAGTTTTCAAAGGATAATGTCTTAATAACAAGAAATTGAAAGTATAATGCTATATTTGTGTATTTTTATCAAAGTATAATGCCTTAATAAGAAAAAAAAAAGTTGAAAGTACAATGCTGTAGTACAAAGAAATTAAAGTACAATGATATAAGAAATAAGTTAAAAGTACAATGCTGTAATATAAATAAATTAAAGTAGGATTCTATAATACACAAATAAATGAAAGTACATTGCTATTTCTTGCATTTAGTCCTTAATTAAATTATCTTTTTTTTGCAGAGCTCTAATCATGTGGATTTGTTGAAGGTATTGTTCCTTTTTTTATCTTTTATGCAAAGTTCTATCTCCTTCTGTTCAACTGCTATTTATTACATTTAGTCCTTCATATTGTACTCCAACTTTGTTGGTTAAACTTTTCTTATACTAATTAATGGTTTCATCGGCTCTCTTTTTCTTCAGAAACATGGTGTTGATGTGCGAGCTGAGGTGAGCCCCCCCTTAACTTGTTAAATACTTGTAAATATATGTTTCCTGTCAGATAATTTTGATATAATATTAGTCTGAATTGAAAATCCATCCATTCCATGTTATTGGTAAGATAGATGGTTAAAGTAAATATTTGGTTAACAAACAGATAAGGAGGCAATCGACAACTGAACTTCAGATATTTAAAAAGCGTTGGGAAAAAGCAGTGAAAGAGGATACAGCCTGGGTGGATCCTTTCGATAGAAGAAGAAAACAAAGATGAGAACCAATCACGATTTTTGACCCTTTATTTTAGGTTAGTTTTTATTTTACTCACTCAACATTATTATTTAACCATCGATTTCTTTCACATGAAATTGCTTTGTAACTGTTTTGACACCAAATATTCGATAGTAAATGCTCATTTCTCTAAATCTCCGTATCCATCAATTCTGCATGCCAATATATCATGTATTTAGCTTTTCACTGCAAACTTTATCTATTTATCCATTTAACTATTTTCTAAACTCGTTAAACAATTATACTATAAAGAAAAAATAAAAATACCAGTTCAATAGCTAAGTCGATGAAATGATAGCAATACTTTGTTCTTTCTATCTATTAACTCGATAACCAATAACCGGAGAAAGAATGATTTTTCTAAACAGTCAAAAAACCACCAATGCAAAGCCTTGTAATAATAAGCACATACCTTTCAAGTTTCCACAAGAATGCTGCAAAAACCACCGATGCTTTTATCCAACAACCAAAAAACAAGAGACAATTGAATAGTGAAGATTGTGTTTATTAACGTCCGAACTAACTAACATGAACCCATACAACGTGATACCGGTTTTACTGTTCTCGGTTTTACTGTTCTCGATATACATGCCATTGCAATGTACATATTGGAATCTATTAGGGCTGCTTTTGTTTACACAAAATAAAGTTGGACGTAAAAAGTTTTGTTGGGTTATTTCTTATAACGAGGATAATTATGCTTTTTGCACAATGACAAAGAGCGACTAATTGTCCCATTTTGTTGTACCTTTTCGATTGGATTAAAAAATTACAATTCTTATAGTCTGAGTCATAGTCTAATCCATGTCAACCACATTAAAATTTCTTTTTGTAATGGAACCATAAAAGCACCTAATTTCTACAATATATGTGTAATGTATTGTATTATGAAAGGTGTTTATATACCCTCAAGACAATGTAGATATCTGCTCACTAGCCAAACCCCCAAACTTGTGTGACAACTTTCTCATTTGGAAGCTGATAGATTTTTTTAGGGAGAATTTTTTATATGCCAAAGATATGTGGAAAATAGTTTGATGTAATGTTTTGTAATTCTGTTAGATATTAGATAATATATAATGTTTTGTAAAAGAGTTTATGTAATGTTAAAACATTGGGTTTTAAGATATGCGGAAAAGAGTTTATGTAATAATTTGTAGTTCTGTTACATATTAGGCATTATATAAGCATAAATATTGGGTTTAAAAAATATTTATATCTAAAGGGCAAATAACAAAAAAAAAATTATACATTGGATTTATTACCAAACTACGTGTAAGACCCACGTATTATATGAATTTATATAAAAAAATTAAATACAAAAATTCTAAACATTTGAAAAAGTTTGAATTTATAACAAAAAATAGAAACATATTGAATTATTAAAATGAAAGTGTTTTTTTTCTCTGTTAAATTTAAACAAATAATTTGTGTATATAAAGAAACGAAACTAATAAAGTTTTAATTTAGAAATATTAAAATTAGAAGGAAAGTGAATTATTGAAATTGATATGCGTTTATTATTACATTTATTGCAATTATTACATTTAATATTATGTGAATTTAATAAAATGAAAAAAACTCAAAAAATGCTATGTGGAAAAATTTTGATTGACATTAACCACAAAATGACATGTGGCCAAATCAATGTGAGTGTGACATGTGGCAAAAAGATTTTCATTTATTAGAGTAGATCCTATAGAAATGAAATATAATATTAAAAATACTTAAAATATTTATATAAGATGCCGCAAATAACCAAAAAAAAAACATTATAATTTGGCCACAATCCAGTTTAAACATCACATTTTATTTTGTATAAAAACTATCTATGTTTGCAAAAGAAAAAAAAAAACGTGAACACGGTAACCCTGTTGCCAATCCACTTAAACATGTCATCATGAAAATATCATAATTTTTTGACTAAACTACACAAATGGTCCCTGTGGTTTGCTCAAAATTGTCACTTTGGTCCAAAAAGGTTTGGACTAGCACCACAGCTCCAAAGTGATTATTTTGTTGCGAGTTTGGTCCAGTTTGCTTTGAAATTTTTATTAATGACAATTTTGCCCTTACTTTTTATTTTTTTAGTTGTTTTTTTATTTATTTAAAAACATTT